AAAAAGATGTTGTTTTGTCGTTCACCGCAGGCAACACTAAAGCCGATGAACTAAAAGTCGCTTCTTACGACGTTTGCTTGTGAGTTTGAGGTTTTCAACCAATCACAACACCCGAAAACAATAGAAAGAAAAAGCCTCAAATTTTTYCCCCCCACATAGAATTTCTGTCGTATTGAAGCACAGAAGATTTAAAGGGATTTAAAGACTAAAAGGGAGTTTGTCAGTAGTTAAATATCACAAAAAATATACTTTTCCTCCATTTTTCGTGTTTCGACCAATAAGAAGATTGGTTTAAACAATACTACAATTATCACCTTTCTACATTCCATGCCGTTGAGTGCTATACACCTACTTTCAAGAACGTTGTCAAACGGAAACAGAACATTAGTGATTTAGTGGGATAGGAATTATATTAAAAAACAAAAGAAGATCAATGAAGCTAAACTTTTTCTTTTGTCTTTTGATGTATTCCTTTCTCACTAAATTACTAAATCTAATGATTAAAACACGTGTGTAACATAAATACCACTAAATACTGCTACATTATGCTAATCCTATTGTTTTCTATTGCTGAATTTAAGCGCTATTTACTCACTAAATAGTGCTAAGTGTTGGACACTTTTAGTAACAACATTATTGCAAGTAGGTGTATATATATAGTGACTCAAATAACTTTAGGTCAGGTGCACTGAGCTACTTGGACTCTTATGGTGAGCTAATTGAGGTCGTCAATGTGGGTTTTCAACTTGCTTAACGAATGAATTGTCAGGGTTTTTTTTTGTAATATAAAAATGAATCATTAAATGTTGCTTTTTTCGTGTAATTTTAATATCCCACATAGCCGATACTAAAGATGACAGTCAGACAGATGTGAAACTTCCTGAGAAAGGTATTTGAATAGTATTCCCATTCTTTAACATCTGTTTGGTATAACGTTAAAGTATCTGACTAAGTCTCACTATTTAAATGTTTAACAAACACATATAACATATAAACCGGACTAAAACTAGGTACGATAAGGGTTCGTGCTACTCCTTAAACTATAGAMATCCATTTTTTGAAGAATTTGACATGTAAGAACTAATAAAGCACAAACTAAAAAGGTCGTTGAAGCAATGTTGATTATTTTTCCTCAACAGTAGGCCATCGCTCAACTGCCATACTTTTGGATTCCTTGCACCCTGGRGAGTTGAAAGGTATGTTTTGTATTTAAATGTTTTGAGCTCATATTAAATGATGGYGATTATACATAATATTGACATTGTCAATTAATACATCAACCAAAAAAACAACAGCAACAACAACGCCTTGTTCCTATTCTCAATTTACACATTGCAAGAGATRGAACATGACCTCACAAATGTGACCCTCCAAGACCCAATGCAGGGCGGCGAAAGCTAAACTTTTTTGGGGGGGCACTGCATCTATGCATTTATATTTATATTTAATATTGCGTGTGTGGGGGGAGGGGGGGAGGAGAGGTGGGGGCACGTGCCACATAGTTCCGCCGCCCCTTTACATAAGCATAAGCCCTAAAAATAAAGCTACGCTCAACCGTCACATAAAACCTTAAATGAGACCTTAACTTGGGTGAGGAAAAAATGATGTTAATTTCATATGTTCCATGCAGCTAATATGAAGCATTAGACTAGAATGCAGTGATTCCATTAAGTTCTAAACTCATACCAACATTAAAGAGTTTGATAGATGTGTTGATCATCACAGTGAATGAGCCATCTAAGCGAACGCTAGTTTATGGCCTTTGCCAATTWAAAAATATAAAGCTAAATTTGCTTTGAAGTTGAAAAATATTTGGGATAAGTGAAAATTTATATTTGAGTTGCATGGTTAATTATCTGAACATATAAAAGTAATATCAGTAAATGGATAAATTTTTATCATTTTGTCAATTTTTAATATATTAGGTAAAAGGAAAAGAACACAAAGAGGACAAGAAACAGAGGAAAAGAGAAAAACAAAGAAGACAATATAATAATTAAAGGAAGGCTGGTCATAGAGTACGGGGCTGGAAATATAGGAGGGTGGGCCACAATTTTCATATGCACAAAAAGGGGTGGGTGAGAAAATATAATACACCTGATACACTCAAGGGGTGAGCCATGTAATTTCTTTGCAGAATTGTTCTGTGCTTGTGTATTGTTTCATAACTAGTCAAATTTACACCATTGGAGTAACAGAATATCTACACAAATGGGGCAATTTGTACATTTGTAAGATGGGCTTCCTTCCCCCCAAAATTAGACTATTCTGTTCAGGCTCATTGGTTCTGCCAAGCCCCAGTGGTTTTGTTTTYCACATGTAAATCTATAGTCTATACCGTATTTTAATCGGTCTATTGATATTTGAAGTCAATTAAAGGACAACAACAGCAACAAACTTGTGTTAATTAACAGGATAATTTGGTCAACTACGTACTACTACTACTGAGAACCACTATAGAAGCCTAAGTTCAAGATTCAGACATACTGACATCATCATCTGAATCTCGTACACATAATCTTCATCATAACCTGTATCACTAAAACTGAACGAAGTTAAAAATTGTAGATCCATCAGTGATTTAATCTCTAAAATGGCACTCTTGGTGAATATCTTCTCCTCTTTACCATTTTCGGCCATTTCACAATATCCCCTTTTTAATTCCTGATATCCCAGTGTAATAGAGTGAAGAGAAGTGACCTTCTGGTGTACAATTTTGGGGTTATTTAATAAAATGAAAGCGTTTTAATTATGTCGTCTGTGATCGATTTAATGTACTTTAATTTAGATAGCATTTAAAATGCTAGTTTTATCGCAACGGGCATCCTTTTTATCCACACTTACTTTACAGTATTCTCTGTAAGAAAGAATGACTTGGTTTAAGGCTCACTTTTGAATCAAAAGTGATCGGAATTTAGTTGTAAATATACATTGTGAAAAGCCGCGAATTTTGAAGGGTTGCGCGTATGACGTCACTTTCTTTGAATCACTAAACGTTGAACACAATCGCTTAATGGCGGACTCAAACGGTCAAACTTTACAGGCTAAATGCAACATCTTCCCAGTCTCGAATCRAAAAAGAATTAGGACAGTAAACTAAATTACATATTTATATATATATCCAGGGATGGTGTAGTTTTCGTAAGACTAGCACTTTAAAGAAAGGTGGAAGAGCTAATTAGAGGAATTAATGGGATCAGGGCCATCAAATATTAAACCTAGTGCAAAGGAAGGCTAGGACTTGACATTAACATTAACATTTGGGTTGCAACCCCCAAAACCCACGTCTAGATCYGCCACTGAGTTTTTTGATTGGTTAACCCCCCAAAACGCAAGGCATTATGGGGGTGTGAAATGGGAGAATTAGGGATTTCCGACAAAGTGGAATTTGAACCAAATAAGGTATTCCTTTGGCTTCATACAACCAAACCGTTTATAATAGGTTTTGACGTTTGTCCGTCGTAGGAAGAAGCAAGGCCAAAAGGTTGGTCCCGGGTCAGTTTATTGTTAAAAGGTGGCTACTTATGACTTGTTTGATATGATAGAGTGAGTCTTCCGCATAAGGTACTGATCAAAGAAGACAATGACCAACTGCTTCTTTATAAGGTATTAGGTGTGTAAAGCTATCCAATCACAATCATGATATATTTGCTCAACCAATAAAAAAAATTGTTTTACTAACTACAGTTTGGTTGATAACAAAAAAATAATGATTGGCAGGTTTCTGAATCTTAATTTCATGCATGACATATTTGCAGTGAATACACATGATAACAGTGAATACACATGATCACAGTGAACACACATGAATACAGTGAATACACATGAATACAGTAAATACACATGATTGCAGTGAATACAAATGATTGCAGTGAACACACATGAATACAGTGAATACACATGATTACAGTGAATACAGTGAATACACATGATAACAGTGAATACACATGAATACACATGATAACAGTGAATACACATGATCACAGTGAATACACATGATCACAGTGAATACACGTGATTACAGTGAATACACAAGATCACAGTGAATACACATGATTGCAGTGAATACAAATGATTGCAGTGAACACACATGATTGCAGTGAATACACGTGATTGCAGTGAACACAGAATACAGTGAATACACATGATTGCATTGAACACACATGAATACAGTGAATACACATGATTGCAGTGAATACACGTGAATACACATGAATACACATGATAACAGTGAATACACATGATAACAGTGAATACACATGATAACAGTGAATACACGTGATTACAGTGAATACACATGAATACAGTGAATACACATGAATACAGTGAATACACATGAATACACATGAACACACATGATAACAGTGAATACACATGATAACAGTGAATACACATGAATACACATGATTACAGTGAATACACATGATGGCAGTGAATACACATGAACACACATGAATACAGTGAATACACATGATTACAGTGAATACACATGATCACAGTGAATACACATGATCACAKTGAATACACATGAATACAGTGATATAAGTAACGTTATAAGTATATACTATATCGTRTATGTATACAGTGTAGAACCATGTATAATAGTGCCATTACATGGGGTCTTACATGAAGTACTGACCCCTGTTTATGACAAAAGATATAATTTATTGCGCTGAGTTTCTGTTTCAATCATCATGTCATCTCGCGTATCCTTTTTTTTTACGACCATAATAACCAGTTTCGGTCAATGCGAAAGTAGAATCCCTGAATATGACAGGAAACTCAGGAAGAATTTGGAACTTGAGTGAAATTGCATACCCTGTTTATGATAAGAAGCTCGAAAAACCATACCCTGTTCAGATAAGAGAAAATGTATTGAAGCTAGGGTAGCCTTAGTACTAGTGTAACCCTAGTGCTAGGGTTACCCTACCTCCTTGTAAAGAGGACGCTAAGAAACCCTGAATAGGGATTTTKTTTAATGTTTGAAATATCCATGGATATTAGGTGACGATTTAGAGTGGGTTTCCTGTGTAGAACATGCCACGTGACTATCTTGTCTTCGTGGTGTAGAGCACGTCTTCAGTTTAGGTGTTGCTGTCTTTTACTTGCTGAGCATCAAAAGTCTTTTCTCCTACATATCTGGAAAAAATGGTAAGCTATACCAACTACGATTCCGTTAAAGTGCCTATCCTTGCCTTCTACAATTTATTGTATTTGCACTTTATGAAATTTACAGCTAAACAGACGCTTTACACGTGTCATGTCAAACTAGTATCGAGTCTATCGAAGAGACAGTATTCCAAAAAACTTCAATTTCTACAGATGTTCTCTCTTACTTAAAGGTTTCTTTATTCCTCTTGACTTAAAGTTCCCACGTATCGTGAAATATTATACAAACATTGGCAACTGTTTAGAACTAAAATAAAATAAGCTTAATTCAGGCGTTTTACTATAGACGACTGAACTATAAAATCCAAATTTCGATTTCTTGCACGAAAATYAATTTGGAATTGAAGGAATTTTCATTTTTTGAAAAAGATTGTTTTATTTTTTTGAACATAACCTTATTGCATGTTCACATTAGTAAGAAAAAGGCAAGAGCATTTTTGTAATGCATTGTTTAATGGTAAGATTYATGCTCTTTAGCCATTCCAAAGTTATAAGGAAAAAACTGAGTAAAGTTGGCATTGCAGTTTATTGTGGCGCTGTATCAGGGAAAATATTTCCAAGATTGTGGCTACTTCATTGCCAACTCAASCCATTTCCCTCTTCAACCTCAGAATGGCTAATAACCTCAGTTAAGGACGTTCGTGGGCATTTTTTATACACAAAGCTTCCAGAATGATGCAGATAAACAATGTAAATAATAATATAGGGGCTAAGTGCATTGCAGTTGACTAGTTTCTTTAATTTCTCCATATGTAGGCAGAACCACTTCGTATTTGCATCACTGGAGCTGCTGGTCAAATAGCATATTCCCTGTTGTACTCTGTGGCAAAGGGAGATGTCTTTGGAACCAATACTGTAAGTACAAATTAGGTTAACAACTAACCKGTCTTAATATTATGTGGTGAAGGCTTAAAGTGCTTATAAGCCTTTGCACAATTTTCAGAATTGATACTTTAGATAGTGAATAGTTGATTGTGAAAATATTTAGACATTTGAATGTTGGGTCTTTGAGATACAAAGTTTTATATTCCCAATATGTTAATGATTATGACGTAACATAAGGCATCATTTAATATACAACACTGCACTCGTTTTGGAATACAGTATTTTAAAAGCATTACCCTTTTACTCGTGACTCACGTAAAGGTTCTTACAAATTTGTTTTCAAAAAATCTCCAGCGTTCAATATTAAAAGTTGCCACAAAATAACTCAAATTCCTTATGTTACATCATAGTCATTAACATATTGGAAATATAAACCTTTGTATCTCAAAGACCCGACACTCAAATGATGAATTATTTTCACAATCAACTATTCACTATTTAAAGGATCAATTCTGAAAATATTGTGTAAAGGCTTATAAGCACTTAAATGAAGTGAAGACATTTTGTGAGGTTATATAGTTTCTTGGTGCAGTGCAACAAGTATAATTGAGGTTACTGCTGTTCTTATGACAGCCATCATCAGAATGAAAGAAGAGCATGGCAAAAATGATGATCATAAGGATAAGGTATTGATGCAAGGTAGCATAAGGCAATAGGCATCATCTAGACTGTGAACTAAGTCCCTCTATTTCCCTTGGTTGCTGTTCGTCTGTCTGTCCGTGTCGATTGGTTGAGGAAGATTGGTTAYGAGTCTAAAGTCCCTGGGGAAGGGGGCTGGGGAGGGAGGGACTAAAGAAAAATAGAAAAATATTTTTCCTTCGTAACCAATCTTCCTCTACCATCATCTTTGCTTAAAGTGCCTTTGACTCTTATTTATTTTTTTTATATATCAAAATATGTCATGAGATGTTGAAAGAATTTTTTGATTTTGATGCTTTTTTCAATTTTTTCTGAGCAGTTGAATGTGAATTTTTCCAAAACATAACCAAGCAACAAGGGAGACTGGGCTTGTGACGCAACAGGCTCTTCTTGATTTCTAAAGGAATGTATGTGATTCAGAAACCCTTCCTTCGTATCTTGAGGTTTTTAAGTAGTCTTGCACTTTAAATTATTTTCTGGGGATGCTTGTGCGATATTGATATCTAAAGATTTAGGCRCCGTCTACACTATGGCAGATAAATTTGAATCCGACTYYTTATTTATTCAGTTAGGCCTACCGTCCACACTAGTCCGGGCGAATCCGGAACAATTATTCACAGAAAATGAATTTTTTCGAATACAGTCTACAGAGTGGAACAATTTGAAAACGCCGGCTAGTCTTATTAGTGTGGACGGAGAACATTTCGTATCCGAAATTTTTTATCCGTTTTCATGTGTGGACAGAAAACTTTTTTTCGGTTTCAATGTGAAAGTTGTGGATTCAAATTTATCTGGCATAGTGTGGACGGGGCCTCAAAGTTCATGACTTCACTGGGAGCGGAAGTTGAAAAATGGTAAATTTTATTTTAACAGCTTGAAAAAAATAAAAAGAAGTTTCAGAATTGATAATTTCTTTCAACATGAATCATAGAATGACTTGCATGTATATTTTGATATAAAGAAAATAAAAACATAAGTGTCATACGCACTTTCAGTTAAAAGGGTGCTTGTAGACTTGAATGTTTTTAAAGTCAATAATAAGGTATGGCTGGTATTCATTTACTGAAACAATGATCAATGACACTTGTTATAATTGTCATATTTCACTATGGCGTCACATCAAAACAATCTATTGTTTAAATACAAAGGATCATGGCCGTCGGAGGGGGTCAAATCAACACAAATTTACCGAGAATTGTTTAAAAACCCGTATCAATCCACGAAGAGAAGTAGAATAGCCAGAAAACGCTCAGAATATATTTTGGTACATATTAACTCGTATTATATCTGAAAACCAGGCCATTTTAGATTAAACTGTTTCGCTAGGAGCAAATTTTGTTGAATATTCTATTGGATTTGGCAATTCTATCCCCCACATAAACAAGCAGTGACGTCATAGTGAAATAGGGCAATTACATGTGGAAACTGTAAAACCTAAAACAAAACACTATCTTCTTATCCGGTGATTTGAGAAAAAAAAATTAGCCAATCAAATCACAAATCATTTTTTGGAAAAAGTATCAACATTTTTGCATGCAGACAAGAAAAGGAGAAATATCATTAACCAGAAATTAAGGCTTAAAGTTGTTTCTGCTTTAAATAATATGTTGTCGAAATGAGACTAGAGATCTATCTTCATTGGTCAGGTTATTTTTTACCAATTTTATTTTAAAAGGAACCCTTAATCGCTCTTGAAGGAGCTGGCGAAAAACTTTCTTGATTTCTTGATTAGATTTAACTATAAGCTCCGCATCTTTTGATGCTCATGGGTCATTGGCAATCTGCAGGATGCTTTAAAACTTTAATAAAGCTTCATAACTGTTTATAAAGAGTGTCTTGTTTTCAACAATAAAAGGTTTATTTGTTAGAAAGTCGCATATATTTATCTTTTTTTCAAGATGGCCACCAAACTCAAGTGAATTGAGCGTGAGGTGGTTGCTTGGATTGATTCATTTTTAAAATATAAAGAAATCATGCTTTGAACATCTAATCAAATCATCTAGTATGTACCAAACAAGATGTTTAGGGTTTTGACTTTGGGTTTTGACTCTGTATCTTTGTTCCAACTTGGCTTTAATTTCTTTTTCTTTTTTACATTATGTTTTAGCCTCTTATTCTTCATCTTCTTGACATTCCACCAATGATGACAGCTCTTAATGGTGTTGTCATGGAGTTGCAGGACTGTGCTCTACCACTTCTGCATGGTAAGTCAGATTCAACCAAAACATGATAATGTTTGTATTTTTGCTTGTTATTTCGTACCTTCGTATGTAAACRAGAATAAATGGTGGAAAATATATGCTTTAATAACTCGAAGTCTAACAACTACAACCATGTGTTTTTCCTATATCTGTATATTCTGCACATGTGCGATTTCTGTCCTAGACACAGGAAGCCCAAACAAATTTTCCTACATTCTCTACTTTCACATCCCCATAATGCCTTGCGTCTTTGGGGGTAACCAATCAAAAAACTGTCCCAAATTGAAAGGTTTCTTAATTAAATTTATGCTATACCTGCTTTTATCTGTACAATGCTGATTATCAGTTTATTCCAAGTTATTTTTGCGTCTGCAGATCATCAAGAGTTTTGGTCTTACAGAAAATGTATTGACTAACAAAAAAATGTTTAAAATTTACCTTAAATGTCTTCAAGCTTCTATCTTTTTCTGTTTTTTTTTTCACTTTTTCATTTTATTTTTGGATACCAAACAAGGTATTATCAACATTGTTTGATCAGCCTTCCTCAAAATAAGTGGGTTTTTACCCTCTGGTTACCCCCTGGTTACCCCCCAGAGATGCAAAGTATTATGGGGATGTGAAAGTAGAGAATGTAGACAAACTTCTTTGCATACATTTTTCATTTTGGCTATATAGACATTTTAGATACAATTTTCATTTTGATGGACAATGCATTGTTCTAGTTCCACAATTTATTATGGTTGTTTTAGATATCTAGTACCTTATATCTTGATCTTTCTAAAATCATATATTTATTGGTATTGAATAAACATAGTTTATTGGATCTCTCTGTCCAATGTTCATTTTTTAGGGGTTGTTGCAACTGCTGATGCTAAAGAGGCATTTGCTAACATTGATGTAGTTCTGATGGTTGGAGCAATGCCAAGAAAGGAAGGCATGGAGAGGAAAGATCTCCTTGAAGCCAATGCTAAGATCTTTGTAACCCAAGGAAAAATCTTAGATGAGGTGGCCAAGAAAACTGTTAAGGTAATAAAAGTGTGTAATATTAACGAAATGATAATGTCAAAAGGTGAGAAATTGTGTACTTTGTAAGACCTGTTTTTTCCTCCAGCCCACCCCAAGGCATTATTAATGAACAGTTCCTTGCCTGTAAAAAATGTGCAAAAAAATGAATGAATAAATAAAAGCAATGCAAACCAAAGAACTTACATTATAGAGGAAATGCTAGGAAAGTTGAAATGTAAAATTAAAAGAGCAGTCAGTTTTTTTGTTCTTTACCACTTTCAGATGTGAACTTTTATTTTTCTGAACCTATACAACCATGATTCTAAACAACAAGATACATGTTTTCTGTCACATTATTCCTTGGTCTTTGCTCATGCTGGCCCTGTTTGATGGCTTGTTCAGAATGGTCAAACCAGCAGATCTTCGTAGTTTTGATCGAATCCTCTATCAACCGCATCCTAGCTATAAATATTAGATATTTTGCGAGTTATAAAAAATAACTCGATTTGAAGCAGAAGTAAACAAACCACCAAAGTTGTAGTAATCCTCTCTAATCCTATTAGAGTAGTGCTGGTAACCCTGTGCAACTTTTCAACTCTCTATTGATTCCACTAGTTCTGGTTGCCTGGCAGTATCTTTCTGTTGACAGACGTCTTAACAAGGAGTGAAACTCTCCCAAAACTTTAAAGCTTAAAGTCTCTATGATTGATTTTACGCCTATTCCCTATCTTTACATGAATTAATAGGTTATATAGTTTTGTTCAATTTCAATTAAATTTGGCAAAAATCAAGAATAGATATGGATAAACAAAAGTGTTTGCATGATTTTTGATATTTAGAGTATTTTGTCTTTAATGCCGTAAACATCCACAGTCGTTGAATTTTTTCAACATATCTCAACTTTACTACTCAATGGCTTTTTTAAGATTGCAAAAAATCAAAAATCGCTCACACCCTTTCGTAGATTATCTATTGCTTACTAATATGGTGAAATTCTTTTTGCTATACACGCTAACACCATGCCTCTTAATGAATACTGGCCTTTTTTTACCACAACCATCCAGCCTCCACCTGCTCAAGCAAACCAGAAATCTGCGAGAAAAATGCACCAATACTTATCTTAATAATGAATTAATCAATAAACACATTCAAAAAACACATGCTATTTACAATCTAAAGAGTTTCCTCATAAAATATACCTTAAAACTATATAAAACATTCCATCTAAAATGAATAAAACCCGAACATGGTATAAAGCTCCCCCAAAATATATATATATATATATAAAATAAATGATTATTATTATAATAAAAACATTAAAAAATTGTTTTAAATTATAAAATTTATCATTTGACCTTTAAAAMAAYATATMGTTTTATAAAGTTTTGTTGAACGTGTTGCATGGAGAGAGTTTTATACATAACATACCCCTGAAGGTTTCCAGTAACCTTTAGTTTCTCACTTTGGTGATTTGGTGGCATTGCTTTACAGCCTCTTACATGCATAATGAGATCATATATGGGAAGAACCCTGGGTAGTATTGTGCAGTTTYTGTTTTGTAGAGGAGGAGAAAGAAAAAAAGAGACATATTTTAAGACTGGTTTGGCATCCGTTTCTGCTGTACATTCTGTATAATACAATGAGCATATATGGTTGTATCATATCTCCAGTGCATTAAGTAGCCAAGTTTGATTTTCATTTTTATCCAATAATGGTTGGAATACTTAAATGTTATTGATTTGAATTTATTATTTGTACTAAAGGTCTTGGTTGTTGGTAATCCAGCTAACACCAATTGCTACATCACTCATAAGATGGCTCCTACTATCCCAAAAGAAAACTTTTCCTGTCTTACTAGGCTGGACCAGAACAGAGCCACAGCTCAGGTAAGATTTTTAACCAGTAAGGTGCACAGGCTTTCCAGACTTTCAGTTCGTGGATTTAGATATTCATATAATTTGTTTAAACTTGCCCAATAGCAAAAAGATGCCATGAGTCATTACTAGTAAGTTGTGGTTTAAGAGATCAAGACATTAAATTGAGACATTCAAAAATTATTTTTGGTCCTTTGAAAGGGAACAATTTTTCTTAAACTTTTCCACCGTACTCTCATACTGATTAYCATCCTTTTATGTATCAGTCTTTGAAGAATGTAGGATAACTTTTTCTGGTAGATTTTTAGGAGAATGAAATTCCGCTTGGAGTGCTGCTTAGTTTACCTACCTTGTGCATTTTTCCTACACAAGGGGGCTTATTCACTACACAAATAGACAGTGTAGAACACATCAGACAAWAAAATATAGCTGATTTTAGGCAACTGTGAGTATTAGACTTCATTTTCAAACCATATTTGGTAAAGTTGAAGGGGGAAAAAGGAAGTTCAAAACAACCTATTTTGAGTAAATTATATGCCGAAGCCAGTCATAAATGACAAAGAAAGCCTGTTATCAAATCCATAAACTGATATTCTGGGAAGCCTGTGGTAGGTGGCACCTTTTCCTTCCATCATCCACTCACTGACACCTTAACTACTTAAAGACACCTTACAAAGCACTAACCAACACCTCTCCAACTACTAGTGACACCTACCCAACTACTTACTGACACCTACCCAACAACTCACTGACATCTCACCAGCCATTCACTTACACCCACCACTCACTTACACTCATAACTCACTGACACCTACCACTCACTGACACCCACCACTCACTGACACCCACCACTCACTGACACCTACCACTCACTGACACCTACCACTCACTGACACCCACTACTCACTGACACCCACCACTCACTGACAACCCCCAACTCACTGACACTTACCACTCACTGACACCCATCACTCACTGACACCCACCACTCACAGACACCCACCACTCACTGACACCCACCACTCACTGACACCTACCACTCACTGACACCCACCACTCACTGACACC